AAAAAAAAAAAAAAAAAAAAAAAAAAAAAAAAAAAAAAAAAAAAAAAAAAAAAAAAAAAAAAAAAAAAAGAAGAAGAATCTGATGTGTATAATCAAAACAAAGAGAGCCCATGGATTCTGTGTCCCTTTTCAGTTATAAGCCTCAAGCTTTTTTTTTATTTTTATTTTTATTTTTAAAGTTTAGAGAGAGAAATTAACTTTTAGGTTAAAAAAGCTGTTTTTTTTATATGTTTTATTCCTTTTAACCTTTAACTAAAATAGAAAAAAAAAATTATCTTTCAGAAACTGAAGGAATAAAACCCCCTTTTTCCTTTCCTGTTCTAAAGATTGAAAGAGAGAGAAAAGGGCAATTCCGTCTTTTTTGTTTGAATACTCGAGTGACCGATCGTTGAAATGGTAATTTATGTCTTTATTCGTTGAGGTATACTTATACCGTTTATAAATAATGACATATTTATTCAATGATTAATTATGCAAAAAATTAAAATCATATACAGAGATTTATCATTAATTTTGAAATAGAATATCTTTTTTCGTTAAAATAACAAAATCTTTGTCAACTATTTAATATTTAACTTATTTGTCATATAAAATTAATATATATTTCATGGTCTTTATTTAATTCAATATAATGAAACCAAATATCCTTCTAATTCCTAGCTTCTCTTAATCCTTTTCATACTATATTATGCTACAAAACATAATATTTTTTCTAATATTTCAACACCATAATATTATAATACTAATGTATAGTTGGTTAACCAACTAGGTTGACTGGTCAAATTTTAGTAAATTTAAAAATAATTGTAAATAATTACAAATTTTAAATTGGTTTAAAATCATAGGTTGAAGGGAAGAATTTAAATAAATAAGCAAAATAAATATTAAATCATTTTATAGGATTAATTCAATGTAAAATCTATAAAATAAATATTTTATAGCGTTTTAAATTGTTAAATAAATAAAAATAGGTACATTTTTAATAATTGGAAACATTACACTTATTTATTGCCCAATCATTTTCTTTTCGGACATTATAGGCCCCCGAATGCAGACCAGTACTTGTCACAAAAACAATACATTTATTTATTATTATTTATTAAAAAACTTTATTCTTATTATTATTTCAATATTATTATATGTATTCGCCTAACCCTATTATTAATCATATAAATAATTCGCGTTAAAATATTATTTAAATTTTGTGTATCACTCCGACTTAATTTTAATTTTTCTAAATTTAATTATTATATTGAATTAGTGAAATAAAATAGCTAAAAATATTTTGGTTGATTTTTCAAATATACGGGATTTACTTTAATCCTAATTTATCCAAAACACTGCCTATTCTTTGTTTTAATTAAACTAATAATAACAAATTATCTCTGTAATCTAAGGCTTAGATACTGTGTATATATATATATATATATATATATATATATATATATATCAAGTGGATTAGGGGAGGGTGTTGTAGGGTAGGGGTCTATATGAGGAGAATATTGTTCTGGACTATTATGCCCCTGGTCATTTGGAAATTTACGAAAATGGGTGGGATGGAAAACTGAAAGCACGTGTGGAGATGTGATTGGGTTTGGGAGTTAATTGCAGAGAGTTGTGAACACACTAGATTATAGCTCATGCTCGTGACCCGAGGCAGATCCTCCGTATCCATGAATGGGGCCCGGCGCGGGCCCCCCTTTCATCTAGCCCTTTACACAGTCTCCTCGACTTCACACGTGCCTACCTCATCCTTGCACGTGAAAATGCCACGTGTCAATTCCTGAGAGTTTAGCCTAATTGAATTTACCAAATTTTAGAGAGAAAAAGAGATATCTTAATATTTTTTGAATTTATTGGACTCAAAATAATACTTAGCTTGTTGTTTATTTATATTTCATCTAATATTAAATAAATTAATGGTTAAATTTTAATAACAATATATATATATATATATGGATTTGTACCCTTTCTTGTTGTTTATTTATATTAAATATTTGTCACTCTTGATTTAAAGAATAACATTTAATATATATATATATTTTAGGATAACATTTATTTTCCACAAAATTTCTGACATTATAAGTTTAAATTAAATGTCTTTCTCATCTAATTATTTCAATTATCAGTTGAAAATAAATTATATTATTTAGATGAGAGAAAAATTAAATAAAAAACTTCATTTTATGACCCATTTTACTTAACTCACTCTTTTTCACTCTCAATTTTCAATTCTTTATAGTTCAAAAATAAATTATATTTGTGGACGAAAAAATTTAAAAAAATAAAATTTTATTTCTTAAATAAGAAAAAAGTATTACAAAAATATAAATGAAAAGGCAAGAAAAAAAAGCTGCATATATATATATAATAATTAAAAAAAAGTCCGACACGTGCAAAGCTACCCAAGTTTTACTAAAAAGTCGAAATTAGTAGAGAGAGAAACTGAGGTATTGTGTGTGTATGTATATATATATACACACACACATATAAATATATATATATATATATATATATATATATATATATATATATTTATTTATTTATATTTTAGTTAAAGTTTTCCTTTTCTGTTTGTCTTCTGGGAAAATCTGTGCGTTCCCCAAGAAAAAGAAGGAAAATAATAATAATTAATAATAATAACATAAGTAAAAAAAAAAAAAAAAAAAATGCTTAGGTGCATGATTTTGCGTACAGAAAATCTTAAAAGCGCCAATATATATCCTTAGTCTTACGTTACACTTCATCACAAACAGACTTCTATTTTTTCTCTGCAATACAAGATTTCATTTTTTTTTTTTTTTTTTCTCTGTTCCATCCCATGCAACACTGCCACCGCCATCACCACCGCCGTCCGATTACCGCCGCCGCCGCCAACTTCAAATTATTCATTAATGATTCAACAATGATGATTACTAAGCTTCTCTTAGCCTTTGCCTTCTGTCGTTTGATAGCCACCGTCGGACTCAACATGGGTCCGACGGCGGAGCTTCCCCGCCTCGGAATCGACGGCCTACTTTCCGTCGACCCCTCCGACGTCCAAACCGCTTCTGTCGATTTCGGCCTCATGACGCGGAATCCTCCTCTCGCTGTATTACACCCAGCCTCCGCCGATGACGTTGCCAGATTAATCCGGGCGGAGGCGGCGGCAGCGGAGGAGGAAGGGGAGTATGGTGGGTTTACGGTGTCAGCGAGAGGG